CGTATGTCCCGTACGCGTGATTAATGTGCGATCAGCGAGTGTAACCGCTCGAGCGATGATACGACGCAAGCGACTGATTGAAAGTGACTGACCCCGCGAAGTCTCAAGTGGCCTTGACCAGCGGCCCAACAGCGGTCTGAATCGTTCGCGTCGTATGAAAGAGAGAGAAACATCGTCCAAATGAACAGCACGTCATCACTCATTACCGCCACGCAGTTGTCGCACGGAGGGAATTCCTGGAGCCACACAGAGAGAGACAAACAAAAAGCAACGCTTCTTTGGCGATACCTCTTTTGGGGAAAATGTTAGAGCGTGTTAGGAGCCGTGATCAGAGCTGGACTGATCCTTGCCTGTTCATCAGACATAGGTCCACCTCAGGGTTTTGATCTGATCCCATTGCACGGGATGCTTGAGTCGCATGTGGTTTCTGACACTGTTGGGATGGGAGAAGGTTTTGGCGCAGGAGGCGACGGGACAGGTGGGCGAGTCTCTGGGATAATGATGATCCAGGTGCGTCCTCATCGTGCTGATATCCGGCAACGTTCTGCAGCAGAGCGGACACTTGTAACCGTGCTGGCGGTGATGCTCGCGTAGTAACCTCTGCTGCCTGAAGTCTGGCTGGCCGCGCTGGTACTTGCTGCTGGTCGTAATCGTCGTCGAGGCTGTGGTGGAAGATTGATTGATCGATGGCTCGTCTTCCAATGGCGTCTGATGACGGTGGTGAGGAGGAGGAACGGATAGTGGATGATGATGGCGATGCCGATGATGTTGCTGGTGATGGCTGTGGTGGTGGTGGTAAGCCGCGCCCTCTGCCTCATCAAGCCCGTGATCTGCAACCACCACCACACCAACGTTACCACCAGCCACCACCACCGTAATCCCACCCCGAGCTACACGACAATATAGCGCGCCCAACCTCGACCCAACGATATTCAGCATCTCGGGGTGTTTTGCGCGCAGCGGGGTTACTGGCTCTTACTATTTGCTATTATCAACCGATCGCTAATTATAATTGGCACCGGTGGCGAGCACCGTCTAAATCTAGCCGGCTGATCAGCGCGTAAGGCGCCGCCTCTACAAAAAGAAAGCACAATCGCGATCGATTTCGACACCGCTCGCACTTGCTCGGTTGTCTCTTTTGCGAACCTCGACGTACCTCAACAGCTCATCTCGAGTATACAATGAATGCCTCTAACGTGTACAAACGTCATCAACAGCAGCAGTTAACGCTACGTGTCGACAGCGAAGTTTCCGCGAAACGATCTCGAGCAATTCGGGGGGGTTAGGGGGCTGAAGGCTCAAATATCGTGGCTCAAATCGCAGCGCGACACAGTGGCGTCTTCAACGTATAGCAACAGATATTCGTAACAACTATCGAGATGTAAATCGTAGATGTTGACACATGAAAGGGAGATGGTACCCGGATACACACTGTAAACTTGATTGACAGAATTGGACAAAACTTAAAGAAGTACGGTACTGCCGAAAGTTCTCTCGGGGGGGGGGGGGATGATTATCCGTCACTCGGTCGCATGGTTGGAAGGAGTCTGCGTCGTGCAAAAGAATATGGACGTTTGACGACCGCTCTTCGGCAACGTTTCTCAAACGGGGGGGGGGAGGGGGAATGGAGATGTCGTTCGAAAACTGAAGCTCTTTGCGTGGCTGGGTTTCCGCTGGCGGAGGGTGGCGGAGGTGTCGCGTGCCGATACGCAGACATGCTAATCGATTACGACGACGGGTTCCTCGGGCCGAGACCGAGTCGCCCAATTGCTCACGATTACGCGCTCATGTTAATATATATCTATGATTACGTGTCGGATCATCGGTATTTCGTATACTTGTTTTCGTGTCGTATACATTCAGTTCGACGTGGGTTTTAGACGCGGCTTTAAAATATAGAAAACGGTCGATCTTCTTCTTCTCTCTCTCCCTCCCTCCCTCCCTCCCTCCCTCTCTCTCTCTCTCTCTCTCTCTCTCTCTCTCTCTCTCTCTCTCTCTCTCTCTCTCTCTCTCTCCCTGCCTCGTGTAATTTCAACGTTAGTGTCTCTGCGATGCACTGCCGTTTTTTTTGCATTGTGTCGTTTGCGGCGAACGTTTCGTCCGTCGTCGTTACAAAGTCGAATGCAAAATGCCGGACTCGGCGATTGCACGGATTCATTCGTCGCGGTCGGAAGCAATTTTGCGCATCAGAGGGCTCCAGCCGTTTTTGCGCTCTTTTTGTACTCTTTCGTTACGCGGTTCCTATTAACATCCCGCTTCCATTGATTACGAAAGCATTACTAAGGTTGCAATGACATCAGCTCAGAATCTTACATGTCACACACACACTCTCTCTCTCTCTCTCTCTCTCTCTCTCTCTCTCTCTCTCTCTCTCTCTCTCTCTCTTTCTCCATCTTTGTCTCTCTCACTCTTTCTCTCCCTCTCTGTCCCCTTTAAAAACCGTGCAACGCTATTATCCAGCTCTTGGAGCATCCGGGACACGGGGCTTTTAGAGATACGC